CCGCCCACCCCATGAGTTATTGAGGGCTTATTTCGACTTTAGCATCCTGCACCTTTTTCTGCCAACTGAACCATGAATATCTTGCCAACAGAACTTCCAGGAGGATGGATTAAAGGATGTGGATCACAGGCTGCTTTCTTTTTTTGGCAGGCGAGGTGACTGTGTGGGCAGGGGTGCTGTGTGCTGAGTCCCAATGTGTAGTGGCAGGGCACCAGTCGCCAGGGCTACATGCTGCTGAGTGCATAGAGTGCTAAACAGACTGCAAAAGGCTAAACAGACTGCCCAAGGCCCAAGATGGCCCCAAAGAGGCAAAGAGGTGATTCTTTACAGGTGCAGGTTGAGAACAGGATTGGAGGGTGGAGGGAGAGGCCCCAGGAGACAGTCCTAAGCCCCTGTGGAAAGAGCTGTGTGCTCAGTCACATACTTCATAGCATGTGAGATCCAAGGCAAAGGGTTCAACCTTCCAAGTGGGTGGCCTCTTTTGTAAGAGGGGAGAACAACATCTATGTAATATGGTGGATGAGAACAAAATGGGGTAATGGAAGTAAAGCCCTTAGATTCTATGCTAGCAAATGGATATTAAAAATGTCAACTTATTCCCCTTCCCCTTTCCTCTGAGCTAAAAAGTTTTCTAAGTTCAAAGGGAACATCTCATGAGGATACTACTGGGATAAACACAGCTTCTGAGCATGGAGGGCAACGCCCAGGTGAAACAGGGTGAAGATTTGCTGCTTCCTGCACAGACATGCAGCTTCTTGACCCACCTGGACCCTCTGCTGAAATGGCCCTGGGTAGGACTCCATGTTCAAGATCTTAACAGCTTTTCTTTCTTCTCTCAAAGCCTACCTACCTATCCCATATCCCATTCTCTCTGCAAAATGGACAGCGACACTTTATGAGCAGGACTGACCTGGAGTTACGAGGGAGTATGTTTGGACACTTAGGTGCAAAAAGTATTCTCCAAATTATAGTTAGAAATTTGAGTTAGCGTTGAACAGACACCAAGAGTTGAGCTGTAGTAGTTTAGACCACTGAGGGCTTTCTGATGGAAGGATAAATATTATGGTTTGGATGTGAGGTGTCCCCCAAAAGCTCACATGTAAGACAATGCAAGAAGGTTCAGAGGAGAAATGATTGGGTTATTGGAGCCTTAACCCAATCAGTGCATTAATCTCCCGATGGGATTAATTGAGTGGTAGTTGGAGGCAGGGGGACGTGGTTGGAGGAGGTGTGGCATTGGGGGTGTGGCTTTGGGGTATATATTTGCATCTGGCAAGTGGAGATCTCTTTCTCTGCTCTCTGATCATCATGAGCTGCTTCCCTCTGCCACACTCTCCCACCATTGTGTTCTGTCTCATCTCAAGCCTTGAGGAATGGAGCCAGCTTTTTATGGACTGAGACCTCTGAAACTTTTCTTCCTCCACAATTGTTTTTGTTAGGTCCTTTTGTAATAGCAGTGAAAAAACTGACTAACACAGAAAATAATTATACAACTCTACCTACCATGAAAATTAATGATTTCTTTGAGCCACCTTATTGCATGCACAAGCTGCTACATGCAGAGTGGTTTTGATTGTTCTCAACTGTCCTAGACTGGATGGGGCTATCACCTACTTCACTCCTGAGAAAACAGAGATTAGGTGTTTTTTTAATCAATTTTTTATCAATCAATAAATGGGCCAAGGACCTGAACAGACACTTCTCAGAAGATGATATACAATCAAACAACAAATATATGAAAATAATCTTCATCATCGCAGGTAATTAGAGAAATGCAAATCAAAACTACTCTAAGATTTCCTCTCACTCCAGTCAGAGGGGCAATTATTATGAAGCAAACAACAATAAGTGTTGGCGAGGATGTGGGGGAAAAGGTACATTTATACATTGCTGGTGGGACTGCAAATTGGTGCAGCCAATATGGAAAACAGCATGGAGATTTCTTGGAATATTGGGAATGGAACCACAATTTGACCCAGCTATTCCTCTCCTCGGTCTATACCCAAAGGACTTAAAAACAGTATACTACAGGGACACAGCCACATCAATGTTTATAGTAGCACAATTTACAACAGCTAAACTGCGGAACCAACCTAGATGCCCTTCAATGGATGAATGGATAAAAAAATGTGGCATATATACACAATGGAATATTACTCAGCAATAAAAGAAAATAAAATCATGGCATTTGCAGGTAAATGAATGGAGTTGGAGGAGATAATGCTAAGTGAAGTTAGCCAATCCCCAAAAAACAAATGCTGAATGTTTTCTCTGATATAAGGAGGCTAATTCATAGTGGGGTAGGGAGCGGGAGCATGGGAGGAATGGATGAACTCTAGATAGGGCAGAGGGGTGGGAGGGGATGGGAGCGTGCATTGGGTTAGAAATGATGGTGGAATGTGAAGGTCATCATTATCCTAAGGACATGTATGAAGACATAAATTGGTGTGAATATACTTTGTATACAACCAGAGATATGAAAAATTGTGCTCTATATGTGTAATATGAATTGTATTGCATTCCCCTATCATGTATAAAAAATTAATCAGAAAAAAGAAAAATATTAATCCACAACTGTCGGTCCTTCAGTCTACTTTGCAAGAAGGTGAGAGAAAAGTTCTGTTGCATAGGGTGGCTGAGGAAAGTGCTTCCTCTCTCTGGAGGCGGGCCTCCTCACCTTACTGCTTTCCATAAGCAGTATCATCTGACCTACTATTATTCTTGCCTTTTCTTGGTCATTTCAAGTATGGTCTAATTTTACTGGTGATGTGTCTTCATCTTTCCACCTACTATTCAAAGGAGCTGTTCCTGGTGACCCTGTTAACTTTGGCAGGAGGAAGATGCTATTAAACAATTCATTGGTCTGGTCAATCCTTCCAAGTCCTTCATTGTCCAGGGGCATCCTTCCAATTGTAGGCTATGTGAATGACATTCCGTGGAGCTCAAGGCTAGGTTTGGAGACTACAACCTGAATGCTACAGAGCTCTGAGTGATTATAGTAGCACCAGGCCTCCATCCCAGGTGGAGGCTTAGCCTGGGACAACCTCTCTGCACCTCCAGTTCTTTGTAGCTTTTTCTCTCTAGGGGATCCCAGTAACTCTGCCAAATACACACATACACACTCACACACAAGCACCGGCATCACCACCAATGATATCAAAAGCAAAATCCTCCCTACTTCCAAGGTAAAGATGCAATTCCCCAGCATTCTAGAGCTTTGCCACATTGCTTGAAAAAGAAAAGCAAAACAAAATTAAAGACAACACTCCTTTAGAGGAACTAGAGCCAAGAACTTCTTCCTCCACTCTTTCCTTCCTTATTCCTGAGGACAGGGGAGTCTGCTTAGGTGGACCAGCTTGTCAGCTGACCCAGGATTCTCCTGGTTGTGCACTCCCTGCTCTCCTTCCTGTGAACCACTGGGTTGTACACACAGTCCATTCAGCAGCAAAACTAAGATGAATGTGGAAGAGATCACACTGCCAAACAGACTGTTATTTGAAGGTATTTGTATGACAACTATGATCCAAATTTTCATATTTGGCATGGCAATAGGCTGTAGAGATGGCTAGCATTTTGGATATGTTGGAAACAGCACTGGTTAGAGAACTACTCCACAGTCCCAGCTCAGCTCATCTGCTATGTATACTTGCACAAACTAGGCTGCAGCACAATATTCCAGCTCATTGTATGTGTGATTTTTCAGCCCTAGTGGGCAAGAAAAAGAAAATATAGCAGGTAAGAGGCAGGATCATATAAAACACATGATTTATAAACCATATGAAGAACATTTATTGAAAGGTTACTTCCCCCCTACTCTTCCTCTTCCTTCTCCCTGACACACACAAAAATTTAAGCCTTTTAAATGTGTTACTTTCCCATTTTTGAGTATTTTAAAACTGTTTCCTCTCCAATCTATCAATCAGAGCATGAAACTTTATGTGCCCTATCAATAAGAGCATGAAACTTTAAGGCCCCTCTTGATAAGTTTCATGGAAGTGGGATATTCCAAGAATCAGCAAAATCAGAGGTGTTGTTTCCTCCTTTGATAGCTCTGTAAGGGTAACTGCAGCTCACCATGATTGTTCAGGCAGAAGGGACAATGAGAGAATGGGATCCATATTGGGTTACCTCTGTGTCTGAGGCCATCTGAAGATATGGTCAATGCATGTGGTTAGTGCTAGTGATCTATATATGCACTTAGTGTATGTTAGCTCTCCTGGTGTCCCCCATTGCAAGTCATGCTCTTTCTTTTGGGAGGATGTAGGTCCTGCCCTGTTCCCAACATACTGATTGCTGTGAGTCTGCTGCTTTGACCCTACTCGGGAAACCCACTCAGCAGCCTAGGTGACCTCAACTCCAACTGAAGACATCCTAAGCCTCTTGGTGGGTTGCTGATTTCTGATGCAGACTCCCAGCTAGCCTAACATCTTGATCACCACTTCCAGTGACATCTGTACTCACTTGAGATCTTTGTCCTGACCTATGTTGTTGATCAGTTCATAGACTCGTGTGTAAAACCCTGTGTCATTGTTCCACGTGGGAGCAGGGGAAAAAAGGTTCTGGACTTTAATATGGTTATGTGCTTTGTACATTTCAAGAAGAAGGTAGAAAAGGCAATTTTTCCCAAACTTATTGGACCACATATGCTCCCCTTTTGCCAAATGCTTATTGATATCTTTCAAATACAATTGTTCACTAAATCATGATTAGAAAAGTGCTGACATTTATATTGCTTCTCTGTTATCTAACAACATAAAAAAGAAGGTCTCAAACCCCTGGGAATTTTTTTGCTCTGAATTCAATGTTTCCAAAGAGTGTCCTGCCTGAAATTCCTAGTTCACAGTATACCCTGCTAGCAGTTAAGAGTCACCTTGTCAAAGGTTCACAAACTCTGCAAAACATTATTTCACCTATGCCAGGCTCTCTTCCTTCACTTTGAGATCCATTATTGGTCTTAGAAATGAAGAACAATGGTATGGCTAAGAATTGGGGATACTTACTTGAGTGAGTCAAGAGCGTCACTGACTGCATTGGCAAAATTGATATCCGTTGGGACATTTTTATATTCTAGGCAGTAAGTAGGTCTGACACCAAGAATCTCAACCTCACAGCCTAAGAAGGAAAAAGATAGCAAATGATTACTCTCTTCAATAACTGAAGTGGGGTGTGAGCCTTTTGGGGGAAATAAACATAATTAGTCAAAATAAAATGGTTGTACATTTTTATGAACTAAAATAACTTATTTTCTGACAGGTGATGCATTTAAATATAATTTTACTTAATTGGATCAGAGGTTCTTAAATGCCATTCCTATGTAACACTGATGTACCAAAACAGGGACCAGTAAAAACTGGATAACGGAAAGAAAGCACAAATTAATTAATGGACAGAAACTCCTCAATTAAAACTTTATTCTATAGATCATTATTATGACTATGAGGTCTTCCAGTGTACATTTTTCTATTCCAGAACCAAGTGTTGGGTTGTATCTGATTAGTTGGAGAATTGTAAGATATCAATACGACTATCTTGGGGTATTACACAAAGTCTAAGTGGACTTAGAGGCACTCCACTGGATTAGCAAGCAAAAAATAAAGAGTTCAAGCAGGGGTTCTGAGTCATGACCTTGCTTCTCCCAAGACCCAAAGGCAATTCAACTATGAGAGGGGTCAGCTTTTCTGCCCCAGACTCTTGGATGAGATTCCCAATCCTATCATCAGAACACAGAGCAGGAACGGGGTGAGCCAGTCATAGTTTATATTAGTTGGCTAAATATTTATTTGGCCCCACTACAAACTAGTAACTATGTTCAGACATAGTGGAAACAAAAGGGATCAGCCAGTGTCTCCTTCCTGGAGCACGGGCAGTCTAATCTGGTGGGAGAAGGCAGACAGGAAAACAGGACCACACGTGTAGTCTAAAGTGAGGTGCACACTTTCAGGGTGTTGTGGGAACTCAGGTGAAGGGCATTTACTTCAGGGATTGCTCCTTCTGAAAACCTTCTTTGCATCCCTGTGTGGGCCTCCATCTTGTAGAGGTCACCAAGATGATGGCGACTGGGAGTAGGACTGGGAGGGGAAAGGCAGATAAGGAGAGCACCATGAACCGAGGTCCAGAGAACCTTTAAACAATAACATGAAACACCCTGAAGAATCCCTTCACCACCATAACCCTGCAAAACCAAACTCCATCCTCTCTGCCTGATATCTTGGGTTCCAGAAGGACAAGGGCCATTTATGACACCTAATAGAGAACAAGAAGGCAGGATGCTCTCTTTTCCAAGACATGTTTAAATGGGACAAATAGGCTGCATGACCCAGGAATGAATCCTGCTCACAGCTTCCAAGAAAATATTTATTATTTTAAGAAATGCCAGTAGAATCTGGACTGCTTATATCATCTTAGATACCTGTGTTTCATCTGTCAAAGGTTATTTGTAAACTTTTGACTGCTCTCTCTCAAAGCTATTTATTCTGTGTCCACCCTGTTCTTGGTGCCAGGGATCCAATAAGACATTGCATATTCTTTAATAGTTTAAGAGCCTCATACAATGTGACCCCAGGTGACCAGGTGTCTGCTTCTGGCATCTCTCATATACAGGCATGGGAATTTTTAAGTAATGGAATTTTGACCATGATTTATAGAAAAAGAAACAGGCTGTTCTTTTGGTATTTGCACATTAATACCAAGCCATAAATGCTTTTGTATAATTAATATTAAATATTTTTGTTACTACATGTTCTCCTAATCCTTTTATCTGATTAAAATAAATCTGAGCCTGGCACGGTGGTGTACGCCTGTAACCCCAGTGGCTCGGGAGGCTGAGACAGGAGGATTGTGAGTTCAAAGCCAGCTTCAGCAATGGTGAGGCACTAAGCAACTCAGTGAGACCCTGTCTCTAAATAAAATACAAAATAGGGCTGGGGATGTGGCTCATTGGTCAAGTGCCCCTGAGTTCAATCCCCAGTACCAAAAAAAAAAGTATCTGTACTTAACAATGGCATATTAATACAGTTTACCTGAGAAATGTATTCTTTCCATGGCTAAAGTAAGATAAAAACTGTTTTTTTAAAATTGATTAATTGTAAGTGAAATTCTGTAATCATAACAATTTAGTAAAAAGAAATCCAACGACTCATAAATTAAAAAGAAAACTTTTAGGACACAGTACAGAAACACACATACAACAGAAGCAAAAGCTTCAACAGACTATGAGCAATCTGCTCAAATACATTCTTATTCCATTTTAGTCTGTTATATGCACATTTTTCTAAAAAAAAAAAAATTTGCTGATTAGCAATCCATAAATTTATTTTACTCTCCACTATAGATCAAGATGTATGTTTGAAAAAACACCAAAACATTACCTGCTGATGAGTCATTATCCCCCCTGGGGATATATTCAAGGACCCCCAGTGGATGCCAGAAACCAGGGATAACATGGAACCCCTTATATAATCATACGCCATATTGGTCAACAACAGATGGCATATGTGATGATGGTCCCATAATATTACATTGCCTGGTGATGTAGTGGTCATCTTAGTTTGTATCAGTAACTATGAGGTTCACACGATGAAGAAATGAACTAACAACATATTTCTCAAGACTTTATCTCTGTTATTAATCTGTGAATGATTGTGCTGTGTTTTCTTCCACACATGTGTGCCTGTGATAAAGTTTAATTCATAAATTAGGCACAATAAAATAATAGCTAATAATGGAACAATTTTAACAGTATACTACAGTAAAAGTTATGTAAATGTGGTCTTTCTCTCTCTCTCAAAATATGGTATTGCACCTTTTCATTTAAAGAATGCCCCTTATGGTTTCTCTTTGGCATGTCTGAAATTAACAATATCATTATTCTCATACTTTGGGGCCATTATTAAGTAAAATAAGAGTTACTTGAACACAAGCATTGTGATGCCATGTTAGTGGGTCTGATTACCAAGGCAGCTTCTAAATGACTCACCAGCAGGTAATATACACAGTGTGGATACACTAGACAAAGGGATGATTCACATCCTGGGCAGGACAGAACAGAACAATGTGAGATTTTTATCATGTTGTTCAGAATGGTGCACATTGTTTATTTCTGGAATTTTCCATTTAATATTTTCAGACCAAAGCTGATCACATGTCACTCAACTGTGGATAAATGGGTTTCCTATATGAAATATACACCTTGAGTCACTCTGCATTGAGACTGAAGTTGTTAGGCAATATTCAGATGAGTTTTATCATATACCCACTTTGCCTAGCAAAATACTAAGACCACTTTTCAGGAACATACTCTAACAAAACAAAGTTGCATATGCAAGCATTTTTACTACAGTGTCACTTATAAGATTGAGGACCATATAAACTTTGGTAAGAGAAGTATGTTTAAATTATGATACATCTGTTTATGTGAAGGAACACCCAACATGCAAGCATTTTTTTAAATGTCATTTGTATTTATTGACATATTATTTTAAGTGGAAAAAAAAAAGACTAAAAATAATATATAAAGAATGAATTTCTTTTTGTAAATAGTTAAAGCATGTTTACATATTTAAAAAACGAGGGGAAATAAATGACAAAATGTAAGAAAGAACAAAATTTGGGTAACTGGTTGTTAGACTCTCTTTAGAGGCGGGTGGTAACTGAAATAGTGCTGAACTTCCCTTGATCTCTGGACCTGAGGCAGCCATCTTGGAACTATGAGACTATAGACATTTAGCTTCATGCTAAAACAAAGCAGCAGGATAGAAAAACTCAGGGTTTTAAAAATAATGTTGTTAAGCACCTGAACCACCATAAAGTACATCTTACATAATACAAATAAATTCTACTCTTAGCACATTCTCTATTATTTGCAACAAGTGTTTCTAACTGACACAAAATAATCATAGCTGACTTTTTCTATTTTTGTCATTGCTTATCCAAATTAACCATACTGTTCCAAAACAATTTAATTCCTTCTGTAATAAGAAACCAAAAACTTTTTTAAAAAAAATTTTGTTATATATGACAGCAGAAGACTCTACAATTCATATTACACATATAGAGCACAATTTTCATATCTCTGGTTGTACACCAAGAACTTATTTTTAGTGATCACTTTCCAACTCCCTTCTAATATATCAATCAGAACATAAAACTCTGCTGTATGAATATATTACTACTTGTCTGTTATATAGTTGCTGGACATATAGGTTGTTGCCAGTTCTTAAATGGTACAGATAATGCTGACATAAACACTTTTGTGTGTGTTCTTTGGTGTACCTAGGTATACATTTCTGATGGGATATATGTATAAGTAGATTTGCTAGATTTGGGGTACCTGCGTGTTGAGCTTTATTAGATAATGCCAAGGAGATTTTAACTTATGTATCAATTTGCTCCCATAAGCCCCTTATGATCCACACTGTTACCAACATTTGAATTTGTTTATTTTTTAAAATTAACCATTTTCCATGTTAGGGGGTGTAGTTAGGGGTCTCTGGAGAAGCAGAACCAATAGGAGACCTATGTGTTAGAAGAGATTTATTATGAGGAGTTGGCTTTTACGATTATGGAGACTTAAGAATCTCTCCATCTGCCATTTGTAAGTTGGACCATCAGGAAAGTTGATGGCTGTCATTTAGTCCCAGTTCAAAAGCCTGAGAACCATGAGTATGGAGAGCAGAAGATTATGTCCTGCTGAAGCAATTAGGCAGGAAGAGGGAGTTCCTCTTTCCTCTGCGTTTTGTTCTGTTTGGGCCCTCAATGGATTAGATGATGCTCCTTCACAAAAATGTGTCTATTTTATTTACATTTTTCAAATACATTGACACAACATATTGATCTTCCCCCTTTTCCATCTTACTATTGATTATTTGTGACTTCTCTCTTTATTTCTTGATGATAAGTTTTCTCAGAGTTTCATTCGTTTTACTTTATTTTTCAAAGAATAAACGTGACCCTGGGTGCAGTGGCACCAACCTATAATCCCAGCAACTGGGGAGGCTGAGGCAGGGGAATTGCAAGTTCAAGGCCAGCCTCAGCAACTTAGTGGAGACCTTATCTCAAAATAAAAAAGGGCTGAGGATGTAGCTCAGTGGTAGAGTGTCCCTGAGTTCGATCCC